CTGTTGTACATAGGGTCGCTATGAGTCGCAGGCGACTCGACAGCACATAACAACAACATGTTGTTTAGGAGGGCCCAGTCATCCTTGGAAAAGGACATCATGCTTGGAAAAGAGGGGAAGACTTAACGAGATGGATAGACATAGTGACCGTAAAGGTTGGCATTAGTGTCTAATAGATGACGAGGATGGCACAGAATAGGACCAGGGTTCAGATCCACTGTTCATAGTGTCAAGTCGACTCCACGGTACCTAATACCACCACCATAGTCCACTGAGGAGGAGTCTTAGTGTAATAGATCGTTAAGGACTGGGCTGCTAACTGGAAGATGGAGGTTCGAAAGCACCATCTTGAATATTGAGATTCAACCCGGATATACGGCTCTTCTAAAGATTTACAGCCTGGGAAACTAAATGGAGGATCACCATGAGTCGGAATCCATTTAACAGCAGTGGATTTGATTTTGCTTCGTTTCGCCGTTCAGATGTGAATAACCCAAGTGACAGAGGCCAGAGAAATGACATGAAAGATAAATGCCTCCAAGGTACAGATTAAAATACAGGATTTGGGAGAGGACAGGGGGCGGGCCCATGGTTCCCTCGCATTTCCTTTTCGATCTTGTTGCTGAGTCTCCGCCCCTTTCACCCGCGGGGACCATAGAGGCCGAGCAAGCATAAAAGACAACATTTCCCGAAGTGCTGCGCGGCGGTGACGAAGCAGGGGCCGGAAGTGGGTCGCGCGAGGTCTAAGGGCACGAGGGAAGTGGCAGACGGGGACTGGGGGGCGTGCAGGTGAGCTGAGGGGCTCGGGGTCGCCGGCATGGCTGAGGCCAGGAAGCGGCGGGAGTTACTCCCCCTGATCCACCAGCATCTTTTGCAAGCGGGGTATGTCCGTGCAGCGCGGGAAGTGAAGGAACAGAGCGGCCAGGTAAGCCTGCGAGTGTCCTGTGAGAATCCCGCGTGCAGCATCCGGAGGGTAGCGGCCCGGACCCCTCCTCAGCGACCTGACCGGGGCCTGGAGCAGAGTTCTGCTGTGTTTGGGGGCGCAGACGTGGGCAGCCTGTGTGGCTATACCTTCAACCCTTGTTGCAATTCTCGTTCTTTCTGTGCCTCAGTTTCCCCATCTATGCAGTGGGCAGGCGTTTATGTGTGATCCGGTGCTCAGAGATTATGTAGTTCGGTCCGCCTCGCGTTTCCACCCATTCCTGGGAGCGACAGTTTAAAGTTTCTTAAAGTCTCCGACCACGTGGCCCGGTACGGCCCTCTGGGACAGGAGGTAGCCACTGCTTTGAGGGGCAGGTTGTGACAAGTTCAGAGAGAGATCGCCAAGAGAAGGGACCCGTAATTTGAGCTGGAACTCAGACCTTTAGAGAGTCTGTTTACTAAACCAGACAGCTTTGGGATTAGAACTCATGGTTAAATCTTTCCACTCCATTCATTCAGCAGCTGTTAATCCGGGGCTGGAGGTGCTGGTAGAATGGTGGCCTGGGGGCGGCCCTTGGAGTGTTTAGGACTCTGTGTCCTAAACATGTTAAGCCATGGTGTGTTGCACTGCTAACCAAAAGGGCGCCCGAGTGTGTGTTCGAATCCACCAGCTGCTTAGGAAATGGCAGCAATCTGTTAAGATTTATAGCTGTGGAAACCTGATGGAGGGTCTTTGGGATTTCAAGGCAGTGCGTTTGAGTTTCTTGTGGAATTTACAACCTAGGAGAGGAGACAGACATAAATCACAGAAGCAGCTGTAAACCTACTTAATTCTAAGAAGGAATGGCTTACACAGTGTATGGCAGATTGCCTTTGTCACTAAAGATACCTGAGCCTGTTTCTCTGAAGAAATGACTGTTGATTTGAAATCAGAAGGAAGGGGATGGTTATTCTCAGCAGAAGTGCAAATGCTCAGTGGTGAAGGACTTTAAAAACCCCAGCAGAACATGGTTGCTTCATAGGTTCCTGGGGCCAGGGTATGAGGGACCTCTGCTATAACAGTCCACAGGAAACTGGGAGGTGGGAGGGTCTTGTAGTTAGTCTGTGAGGAGCCACTTTAAACTGGGACTTGAAGGGACCTAGTTAATTTTGTTATTGTTATTAATTTTATAAATATAAAAAGAATCAGTAGTCTAGCAGTGGACCACTGGACCAATAGGCAACATCATGATGCAGAAAATATTGAGACTGTCAACAACTTCATCTTTCTTGGATCTACAGTCTACAACCTTGATACCAGCAGTCAGGAGATGTGTTGCCCTGGGGAAGTCTGCAGTCAGGGACCTCTCCATATTTTTTTTTTAGTTGAAATTTTGATGAATGTTTATAAAGACTTTGGATTTCCATTCATTCATTGTTGCACATTTTCTTCCCTCCCCACCCCTCCCCATAGTTGGTTTTTCTCTTTGAAAAGTAAAAAATATACTTCCATTATTAAACAGTCTCCCCCCTAGTGACTCCCCCATGCAGCTTTCATTCTGGACTCTTGTCATGAAAATTAAACCTAATCATATATTCCTTTTAAGCCGTTTTCTCCCTTATCTGTTTCAGTGCAGTATACATTAATCCCCTCTTAAATTTCCCCCAACCCCAGTGTCAGTCCTGCTTTACAACAGTAGCACCATGCAGTATTTGTCCCTTTGTGACTGAGATATTTCACTCAGCATAATGTCCTCCAGCATCACCCATTTTGTGTAATATTTCAGCAGTTCCTTGTTTTTTCAATGCAGCATAGTATTCCATTATGTGAATATACCACAACTTCTATCCATTCGTTTGTTGATGGGCACTTGAATTGTTCCAACTCTTTGCTATTGTGAACAAAGTCGAGATAAACACGGGTGTGCATATATCTGCTTGGGTGGCAGTTATGGTCTCTTTAGGGTATATTCCCAGTGGTGGAATTCCTGGGTCAAATAGTATCTCCGTTTGCAACTTTTTGAGAAATCGCCTCACTGCCTTCCATAGTGGTTACACCATTTTACACTCTCACCAAGAGTGGATAAGGGTTCCAGTTTCTCCACAACCTCGTTAGCATTTGTTGTTTGCTGCTCTGTTGAATTTTGCTATTCTTCCTGGGGTGAGATGATATTTCATAGTTGTTTTGATTTGCATCTCTCTTAGAGCTAGGGATTTTGAACATTTCTTCATGTGTTTGTTCGCCATCTGAATGTCTTCTTGGTGAAGTGTCTGTTCATATTCTGTGCCCATTTTGCAATTAGGTTGTTTACCTTTACTCCGGATTTTTGAGGAGCAATGATGTCAGTGTGAAAACTAAGGTACATTTGATTTCACCCTTGATGTTTTTGGTCACTTGCTGTGCATCTGAGAGCTGGACAGTGACTGAAGATGGCAGAAGAAGGATTGATGCCTTTGAGCTGTCAAGTACTGGGCTGCCAAAAAGAACAAACAGATAATGTGTCTTGGGAAGGGTGCAGCCAGAGATCCTTGGAGGCAAAGATAACAAAGCTCTGTCTCACATACTGTGGGCATGTTGCTAGGAGAACCTATTCCTTGGAGAGGAACATCATGCTTGGAAAAGTGGAGGGATGGTGCAAGAGAGGAAGACTTTTAACCAGACAGATTGGCACAGTGACTGGAGCAGTTGATTCAGGATGTTGAGGATGACACTGGATATATTTCACGGTTCATATCTATTGTTCATAGTGTCTCTATGAGTCATACTTGACTCGATGGTATCTAATAACAATTCATTTGATGGCATAGTCCATAGCATGTTGTGTTGCTGTTCAAAAGGCTGTGACTGGCTCTGCAGGATAAAGATGGGCAGTGTGCTTTCCTGATTTGCAGCCTCAGCAACCCAGTAAGTCAGAAGCAGCTGGATGGGAGTGAGTTTGAATTAAGCTTTATGGTAGCATAATTGGGCTGCCGACTGAAAGGTCAGTAGTTTGAATCTCCCTGTTTTGAGGAAAAAAGATGGGCACTCACCTCCTGTAAAGATTCACAGCCTCGAAAACCTTATCCAAGTTCACTATCAGTCAAAAGATGGTGGATTTGATTTGGTTTTGGTGAATTCATCAATATCCCAAAGGTAGCCTGAAGGGATCAATGAAGAATGTGCCTAGGATGTCATATATGCTTTTCCCAGCTCTCCTTTGAGCATATGCCTCAGAAAAGTGTCCTGCTTTCATGGAACTTACATTCTAGCAAATGACAAATAAGTAGGTTAGTAGTACAGTATGTCATGTGATGATGTTGTTATGTGCTTTTGAGTCAAAACAACTTTTAGCAGAGGCTCTAAGTTACACAGGAGGAGAGGGCCTGTCTTTCTCCTATAAATCGACTGGTAGATTCAAACTGCCTGTCTTTGAATTGGCAGCAAGAAGAATTTTTAAGGAGTGTTGGAAATAGAATTATATATTGAGAAGTCAGTTTTCAGTGAAGAAAATTTCTGGGCAGAAACCTAAAGGCAATGAGAGAATGAGCTGCACAATTAGGAGAAAGCATTCCAGAGGGACCCTGGTGGGAATGGAGTCAGGAGTGGCCTGGCACATTTGAAGGACAGTGAGAAGGCCTGTGTGCTACGAAGGAAGCAGAGTAAGACTAATACTTATAATGTCTCAGTATTATGGAATGAACCTCAAGTTTGAAACCCACAAGCTCAAGATTTCCTCATCAGTTAACAGAAGAACCTTGACTAAAACCTAGGCCTTTCTCACTCCAGGGATACTCTGTTGACCACTGTTCCCTTCTCTGAGCTTTGTGCCCTCACCCCACGATGGTCATTTGGCCAACTTGAAATTCAAGGTGCTCAGCCTTTCCAGCCTCAGCTCTGAAGGCCTCAGTTCTGCCTGGTGTCCTCTATGAGCATCAAGAGGCTGGCACCATGTGGGTTCATCCTCTTCCCAGTGAACCGTAGACTGTGGTGGTGCCACAGGAATGTCTGGACTGGGATTCATCTGTGGAAATCCACCAGCCAAACCTTTGAAAGTAATTTGAAAGGTCATGGTGGGAAAAGCCTTGTCTCATGGGCCCAGGGTGGATTACACCTGAGGGCCCAGGAGCCATATAGATGCATGCTAGCTTAGAACATTCCAGCTGCAGCCTCTCAAAAGTGCCCCTCACTAACATGTCTTAAAAGCTTTTACCTGGAATCACTTGCCTTGATTCTTTAGGAAAGATTTTGGATGAAACTGGCAGGGCAAAACAGATGTTTGGGGGTGGGGGGAACCCTTCTGCACTGTCTGGGCATATCATGAGGTTGAGGAGTGTTGGGCCCAGGGAAGGCCCTCCCTGTGCTAGGGATTAATCACTTCTCTCTCTGCCTTTCTCCTTTTCTACAGAGAAGTTTCCCGACACAGCCGGTAACCCTTCTGGACATCTACACACACTGGCAACAGTAAGTCTGGTGGAAATGGGGATGGAGTAGGGACACTCCAAGCAATTGGCTTGGAATAAGGTGTTTCTCCAAGTCCACTGTGAAGGTAACCCCCAGGAAGCCAGGTCATCTGGATGAGTATTTCTGGGCAAGCGTCTGGATTTGGGGGGGACTTTGAGACCTATAGTCTCTAAAGGGCACAAACTTTGCAACAGTTTGTCATTCATTTGATCAGCATTTGTGGACCACTCACTGAATGCCAGGCCCCATTCAAGTATTAGAGCACTCTGGTGAGTGAGACAAACGTGGTTCCTTCTTTCCTAGACTTGGCATTCTAGCTGGGGAGGTAGACAGGTCAGAGAATGAAGTGTAAAATTACAGTGGTTACAAGGATTACACAAGCCCCTCGTGGGATAGTGTTGACCTGCTAGCTGAAAGGGCAGTGGTTTGAATTTGCCAGCAGCTATGAGGGTTAAAGATGGGCAGTCTTCTCTCATAAAGACTTACCACCTCAGAAACCCAGTGGAAAGGCATCAACTCCATCATGAGTTGTAAAAGGAAGTTGTGTAACTTCGAGTCAGAACTAACCCAAAGCTGACCCTCTAGTCAGTTTTCAGAGGCAGTAAATTGCACAGGAGATTGCCTATCTTTCTCCCTAGAAGCAACTGATGGGTTTGAACCGTATACCTTTGCATTGGCAGCTCAGTTCCTTACAGTTGAGCCATTGGAGCTCTCTACAAAAGGAAGTTATATGGTGCCAAGACCCCATACATGGGTCAGCCTGGACTTGTTCGGGGGCTTAGATGTTTCTCCAGAGTGAACTTTGATTTGAAAGCTGAAGGAAGTAAAGGAGTGGACTAGACAGTAGATGTGGAGAGGTGAGGGGTGTTGCGCCTTGCAGTGAAAACTGGTGCCAGTGCCTGGAGGCAGCAGCACCTCATGCTCAGGGGCCATCCCTGATAAGGGAAGTCTTTACCTTAAGGGTAATGGGGAGGGAGGAGTGTCATCAGATCAGCACTCTGTCTGCAGCAGGGTGAGACTGTTTGGGTGGAGGCAGAAGGAGCTTTGATGATACCAGATAGGAGCTGTAGGGTTTGTGACAAGGATAACAGAGGATGAGGAGTGAATCCAAGCAGTGTGAAGAGGTGACCTCAGGATCTGTGGATGGGTTAGACGAGATGTCAAGTCCACTCATCGCAGTCTGGCTTGTGCACCAGCATGAAAGAGACTGTGCCTGCAGCTGAAAGGGAACCATATTTGGAGGAAATATTTCAAAGATATGTTGAGTTGACTTACATAAATCTTTTTAGGGAAGAGGGGATAATCCAAGGGTATAGCAATAAAGAATTGGTTAAGAATGAAAGAGGGGATACTGTTCTCTTCCTCCAGCTGACTGGGGAAAGGAAAGGCCTATAGTCATGCCTTATAAGGGATGGAAGAGATTATTAAACTTTCTGAACAAGAGGAGACAGGCAAGCAAGAGAGATGAAGGGCCCACTGCCTGTCTGTCCTGGAGGACCAAGGGAGTGGTGCACTCTGGTGCCCTCACAGGCAGAAGTGGCACTCTGTATACCTGCTGTGGGAAGGCATATTTCAGCTTCTAACTATGATCACTTGATCATAACAACAGTCCATAGATGAGGTGGGTTACAGTGGGAGTGGTGAGTCCTTGCCATCAGAAATGTGTAGGCAAAGCTAATTACCTGTGGGAGGGGTTGCAACATCTAATGAAGCGCTAAAAATACCCTCAGTGATAAGGAGCTGTGCTGCCAACCCAAAAACTCACTGTTTAAATCCACCAGCTGCCCCGCAGAAGAAAGATAGGCGTTCTCCTCTTGTGCAGTTTACATCCTCTGAAAATCTGCTTGGAGGGTCAATTATGAGTTAGTTTCAACTCAAGAAACACAAAAAAAACAATGCCAGTTTGAAGATTCTGAGTTCTCCTTTGCTGTCAGGTCAAGCTCAAAGCATCAGGCACTTCCTCACCCTCACTTTCGGGATCCCACTCACAGCACTTCCTTCCTCAGAAAGATGCTTCAGCGTGCTGCACCCCACACTCTCCCCCACCATTAGCCTTTTCTAAGGTGCAAGATCACTATGTGGGACAAGAACCCATACCCACCAAACACAGCCTCCCCTGTGATTTCTGGCACATTCTGAGCCCCAGGAACTACCTTCTTGACCTCCCTGAATCATCCACATTTGCACAATGACATATAAGAGTTACTACATTGTGGGGATTAAGTAGTCTATATGGTGTTTGTCAAGTCTAGTCCTGACAAGTGGCCTTCCAGGGAACAAGGGACCCAAACTGTGGAAGGGCAGTTTCTAGTTAGAAATGATGAGGCTGGAAACTTTGGGGGACTCGGTGATTCAAGAGCGTATTTCACTGAAGCCCTATGTTTATCTTGCCTCAACTAAGCACTGAGGACAGCAAAGCTTCTCTCTAGAAAAGGCTCCTGCCAGCCCTTGTGCTCTCCCTGAGCCTTACTGTGCAGTGAGAGCCTCCAGCAGGAAGTAACTAGCAGTCCTCTGAAGATGAAACAGGGTTCCGGCTGAGGGGCTAACCTGGGGGAAGTGTGATTTGGGAGGGAACACGCTGCTCTCTGTTAGCTTTTTTGCCACCCGAAACCTATGAGAGCTGGAACACAGCACGACTGCCTCATTTTCTGGGTCTTACACGTTTTCTACCTTTAAGAGTGTACAATCTCAACACTTTTCCTCTCTCCCTCCTCTTAGTGGAAAAATAATTGAGTTTTCATTCTCTGAGAAAGTTCCACCTAACACAGATTCCAGCTTTTGAAGGTTTTGCTGTCTGTATTATGTAACATGATCAACCATTCATGATTATTTTGAAGACTTGGAGAAGATTTTTAAATGCTTAATGAAATGAGTGAAAATGCAGAATGCAAAATTGTACCTACACTGTTGTCATTGCTATTCGAGCGCTCCCTGTGCTCGTTTCCTCTGGGGTGGGAGGATGTGGGAAGGTCTTCCTTTTCAAACCCCCTGGAGTAGTTATGTCACCCAGTTGGTACAGCCAGCCACCCTTGTCTCACAGAACCTCGGAGGTCGGCCAGAAGCGGAAGGCAGAGGATGATGCCGCGCTTGAGGCCAAGAGGAACCGCGTGTCAGACCCCATTAGCACCTCTGAGAGCTCAGAAGAGGAGGAGGAGGAAGCAGAAGCTGAGCCCGCCAATGCCAGGAAGAGTAAGAGCCGTGTGTGCTGGTGGTGGTGGTGGAGGGGCCTGGGCCTGCCAGGGAGGCCATAATTGTTGGTGTTTATAGGGACCCTAGGACCTTATGCTTTCGGGAATGTTCTGTGGTATGAGGGTTGCATATTCCAAGAGTAAGTCACTTCCAACTTCTTGAGTGAGCCAGAAAAAAAAAACGGGATTTTTTAGGGGAAAGTGGAAAAGGCCCTGCATTGTATCATTTATCCCATCGTGCATTTGTGTACCAGTCATCATGCTAGGGCTGGGGAGTTAGGATTAAGGGTTGGGTTTAGGGGAGGCCATGGTGCAGTAGTGATAGGCCCTCACAGCTGCCTTTTGACCCTCCTTGGGTCCCAAGAGCTGTGTTTTAACAAGTTCCTATTTGCAGAAAGGGGTTAAAAGTGGGGAAAAAATTTATATTTTCTAAAGCACTTACTGCTGGAGAGAGATCAGGGGGATGGCTGGTGGGCACCTCTTCTCTGTGGGCTGCTCTGAGAATTGCTGATCTGCTTTGGTGTTTGGACGTGGGTAATTTCTCAGTAGGGCTGCTCTACCTGTGAAAGCCTTTACAGCCCCTTTTCCCACATCTACTTAGATTCCTGTGGGTCCTTGTGCTTCACCCAGGAGCACTCATTAATGCTTGAGTTGGTCTCTTCTCTACACTGTGTTCTTATTTTTGTTTATAATGAAGAAATTTTCTTAATTTTAAAATATACTTTTGTATTATAAGAGAGTATAGCAGTTCTTGGAGTCCTTAGATACTGCAGATCAAAAGGTTGGTGGTTTGAATCCACCCAGGAGTACTTTAGAAGAAAAACCCAGGAGTCTGCTTTCCAGCTGGGCACGCTGTGGAGCCCTGTGCTAGTCTGATCCATGAAGCTGCCATGAGTCGAAATCGACTCACAGCCGTTGGTAATAGAATTCATTTTAGAATATTTTTAAAATGCTTTTTTAAAAGGCCAGGGGGAAAAATTACCCATGTTCTTGCCACCTACAATTTGGCATATTATTCTTCCAGTTATTTTCCTGAGCATGTTTTTAAGTACATTTAAGATTGTACTGGATATACATTTCCTTGCTTAATACTTTTAAAATACACAAATGCAGTACAAGGATAGAAACTTGGAATGTTAACAGAGCACAGAGAATAAAAATTGGCATTTTTCTTTTCTTCTACCCTATTTTCCTTTTACTGCCTAAATGTATCTCCTAGTGGAGAACCTTTGCTTTTACATCTGTCTACCCGGCCAGACATGCATGTTTTGTACAAAAGTTATAAAATTATATACTGACCAGCTATTTGACATTAGGACTTTCTTAAACCTGTGATAATGGTATTGTGACAGTTTTTCTGTTCAACTATTTATACACATTTTGTTTTTAATATTGATAGTTTGGGTTTGGGCTTTTTGTTTGGGGTTTTTTTAAGGAGTCTTTATTGAGGGAAAACTGAAATATTTGTGGGCAATGTTAAATGATGTCTGGCCTTTTTCTTTGAAATATTATGTATTAAAGAGAGAGAGATGGATGAGAGGATAGATGGAATAAGATTGATTATACCTTGGTAAGGGAGCTCTGGTGGCCTAGTGATTAGGAGCTGCACTGCCAACCTAAGGACATGCTGTTCAAATCCACCAGCTGCTCCATGGGAAAATAATGGGCAGTCTCCTCCCTTGCAGTTAACTGTCTCTGAAAACCCCCTGGAGGGTTAGCTATGGGTCGGTTCCAACTCGGTGGTACATAACATACATTGATAATGGGTGAAGTCAGAGGATTCGGTATTCTTTCTCTGTCCTTATGATTGTATCTTAAATTTCCCTAATTAAAAAAGAGAGATGATGTTAAATACTAGGAAAATAATAGGATCATGACATATCAGCACCATCCTTATTCATCAGCATATCTTGGAAAGCTTTCCTTAAGACCTTAAAAGGACAATAACCTTTTGTAAAAGTACCATGAATATGTGTCTTAACTTCTCATGAGGACCAGGTCTGGTAGTCCAGCTACCACCTCTCCACCAAGGACCTGATTCAGTTCTTAGCAGCATTCTAAACCTGGGGCTGACTGCCCCGTCATTGCTCCTGGCTTTCTGCGTGACTTTAGAGGCTGTGGTATAGTTGTTCTGTGCCATTAAGTTAGAACCAACCTGTAGCTGGCCCTCCAGTGTGTTCTCCAAGGTAGTAAATCATATGAGAAGAAATTGCTCATCCTTCTCCCATGGAGCTGACGGTAGCCTTCTTAAATACAAGGCCAAATCCCATGTGCCTTTGGGATTGCAGTGTAGTTTCTTACCAGTAGGCTACCAGAGCTTATGGTATGGGAGTCTGTGTGAAAAGTACCCATGGAGTTGTGGTGCTTTCATGGTAATAAAAACAGGATCTTAGGGGAGCTCTGGTGGCCTAGTGGCAAGAAGCTGCAACTACAATCCCAGAGGTGCACAGTTCGAATCCACCAGATGCTCTGACGGGGAAGGAGGGGCAATCTCCTCCTGTACCAGTCAGATCCGATTTGACGGTACACACACACAAAAATAGTAAAATAAAATTTAAAACAAAAAAACAGGATCTTGAGCCAGTCATTTTCCTCTTGAGGCCTCCATACTTCTTAGGAAAGAAAATTGGGGACCCAGTGAGGATTTAAGTGTGTGACATTCATCTTGCCACTCTCATCCTCCTGGACAGTGCAGCTAAATGCATCATGGAGCATCATGGAACTATCCTGGAGGTCTGGGCTTCGCCTTTGACCTTCATCCTAGCAACGAGATGCCAGGCCTTTCTTACAAAGGACATAAGGATGGACTCAAACTTCTAACCTTTCATTCTTTAATTTAGCATCCAAGCATGTTAATTATTTATACCAAACTTAAACTGTTAGATGAGACGAAATCAGTTGTCTGTTATGAAAAATGCTTACCTGGATCATCCAATGGGTGTTTGTGTCTTGCAGCAGCCCCAAGACTAGAGTCCACCAACTCCTCAGTCATCAGGACAGATGTGCCATCGAGCGTGAAAGAGCACGCCAAGGTGAGTGTCTCCCAAGCTATTGTGTGGGAGGTGGGGAGCCTCCTCTGCCTAAGAAGGGTAGGGTTATAAATGGTCTCCCGTCCTGGATTCAAATGTCAGTCAACGTGGTACCAGTTCTGTGATCTTGGGCAAAGCCTTTTGCTTCTCTGGACTCATTTTCTTTTGTATAAGATAGAGGTACTGCCTGCCACAATGGGCCACTGGCATAATAAGAACAGTCAAACTGGTTGCTGTCAAGTCTGTTACAACTCATAACAACTCTCTAGAATGTCATGGAACCATTTTCTGGGGTTTGCAGGCTGTAATCTTTGCAGGAGCCGGCTGCCACATCTTTCTTCTTAAGAGTACTTGAGGGGTCCAAACTGCCAGCGTTTTGATCAACAGCCTTAGAGTATAAAATTATTGTTGTTAAGTGTCGTTTAGTGACCCTGTGAATGAAAGTTTTGTACACAAAACTTTCATCTTTTCTCCAAGTTCACAGAGTTTCTGGAGGCAAGCTTTTTTTGGAAGTAGATGCCACTCCTGCTTCCAAACCTGTTTTTATCTGGGAGATCTACAAAAACCAGGCCAAAGGGCTGTAGGCCCAAGGGCCCAAAAGCCTTCTTAAATACAAGGCCAAATCCGATCAGCTCACACCCTAATGCGAGCAAGAGCCACACCCTAATCTCAACCCCAAACCAGAAAACATGCCTTTGCAGAATCTAGCCATTCTGTTCATCTTCCCAGTCAGAAAATTGCCCCAGACTGGCATTCAAAAGCCTCTTTAATACAAGGCCAAATCCGGTCAGCTCACACCCTCATGTGAGCAAGAGCCACACACTAGTCTCAACCTCAAACCAGAAAACACACCTTTGCAGAATCTGGCTGTTCCACTCATCTTCCAACCTGGAAATAGCCCCAGACTGGCAGCCAAAAGTCTTTTTAAATACAAGACCAAATCCAATCATAAAATAGTCGGTAAGAAAAAATGATAAAATCATGAGCAAACTGTCACATACCACTTAGCAAGTGGTTCCTGTGTCCTGAGAGCTGTAATTCCATTCAATCAGCACCTCTCTGAGTCAAAGGATAATTTTCAGTGTCGCTTTAAAGATCAGGAAAGAGATTGAGGGAGGCTGAGCAAATGGCCTCAGGTGTGCATCGATGGGCAGGCGTAGAGTGGGTTTCCAAGCTGGGCTGTACCCACTGTGCCAGGTTCAAATGTATGTCGCTCTTGTTCTCTGTAGGCAGACGCCAAGAAAGCCAGCAAGATGGTGAACTCCACATCACACCCTCCCTTAGGGAAGGCAGTGGCCCTCCTCTCTGGGAAGACCCCCAAGAAGTCATCAGTGCCTTTGGCAAATACTACGTTGGTCTCAGAAACTGAGGAGGAGGGAAGTGTCTCAACCAAGCCTGGTAAGAAGGCCCTGCCTCTGTGAGCTAGGGGTTTGGGCTTCAGCCATGTCATGTTTTGGTAAGCTCTGGGGGATTATGGAAAGAGGGTTGCCTAGGAGAAAGAGGGCTACCTCAGGCTTTGCCGAGGGAGCTTGAGTTGCTTGGGTGGTTGATTGGAGTGTTTGTTTGGTCATCTTTAGGTAGGTTCAGGAGCCACTGTGCAAGCTTACAGTCTGAACTAAGAAGTTTGGCCTTACCTGTCTCATGGAGCACAGTGGTGGGCGGAGGTTTCATAAGCCAACAGGTGCAGGTGTACATATGTTGGGATACTAGGGCCTGGAAGCTGTTGGGAAGAGCATGGTCATCTTTGTGCCCACTTAAAGGACCAGCAGGTCTACGGCTCTCTTTTCATGAGCAGTGAACATCTGGTTTTGATTAGCAGCTGGGGAGGGGCAGGCACGTATGGAAATTGTGACTCTCAGCCCCCTCCTTGTTCATGCCTCAGGGGCGGTGGACCAAGCTGAAAGCTCCAGCGAGGATTCCTCCAGCTCAAGCGACGAGACAGATGTGGAGGTAATTGCCACTCATCCTCAGGAATAGTCCTGTTCAAAACTCTGGTCCTCTAGGATTATGGCTGGACTTTCTGAGACCTATTGAACTATATTCACTCAGCTGTTTGGGGGTAACTGGAAGCTGAAATGCCTGAGGATTGGGTAGGGGTAGGACAGGAACAGGCGCGGAACTTGAGAAGATTCTCGGTTATGAGAGAGAGACGCTGCCTGAAAAACTAGGGAAGACATCCTGTGAGGGGGCCATGGAGCTGGTGATGAGAGCACACTGGGATTCACCAGGAAGAGGCGGGGGAAAGGCATTCCATGCAGGAACTATACAAGGGATGTCCCAAGGTAGGAGTGGCTGTCATCTGTGGATCTGGGTGCACTACGGAAAGCAAGGCCTAGGCACGTGGTCAGACTTGAGCTAGAGTTATGTTGGTAGATGGCCTTGTCTCTCCCCGATCTATGACCCGGGAGACATACCCAGATCCTTCACCCTGGCTCTGCCAAAGAGAAGAAGGCTGCTCCTGCTCCTGAGAAACCAGTAGCCAAACACACAACTCAGTGGGCCAGAGGCCCATGCAGAGTTCCAACAGTGAGAAGGAATATGAACTTGAGGAAACCCAGGGTCAGGGGAAGGTAACTGGTGGTGTGGTAGAGCTAAGGAATGCCTCATAAATGCAAGAATACTCAAAATCTAAGCATTTAAAGGGATCACTTAAGGCTATCTAGAAGTAGGCTAAGAGACATGGCATTTGCCTGAGGTAACTCAGCAAGCCAGTAGTTGTGGATTCTGGCTCTTAGTCTTATGTCCCATAGCTGCCTGTCACCCAACTGTAATACTTAAGGAACAGGCAGGGATAAGCTGTCCTGGCTAAGAGAAGCCACCACTCTGCTCTTACCCTGCGAATGCCAGGTAGGGGGAGAACTCAGGGTCAAGAATTCTGTTCCCAACACCAGACAAGCATGGATGCAAACCTGACTCTGCCATTTACCTTTGCTCTTGAGTGACTTAACCCCTGTGAGCTTCTTGTCATTTTCTGGCAAATGGATATAAAGATCTTATTTGTCTCAACTGTTTGAAAGTTAAATGACATTGGAAAACCTGTGAAGTACCCTATACACTAAAAGGTAAAGCTTATGTAATTCACCCCGTGCTCCTGTCCTCTTTATTTCAGGTGAAAACCCATCCTGCCAAAACCTCTTCAGTCTCACCCAAGGAGGCCCCAGGGAAAAGGGCAACCCCAACCCCAGGCAAAGCGGGGGGCGTGACAGCCCAAGTCAGAGGAGGCACCTTCACCCCAGATAACAGGACCACAAAGCCTGAAGAGTCAGAGAGCAGCGAGGAGGAGTCTGAGAGTGAGGAGGAAGCCTCTACAAAGACCCTGAGCCAGGTGAGGCTGGGGAGGGCTCACCGGGGGGGTGCTTATGTCACGAGCACCTCCTGCCGGAGAACAACACTCAGCCTAGAGTTTTTGTTTCCCAACCAAGAGTAACCAGCCAGGCCCAGCTCTGCTTAGCTTCTGAAATTGGCCATGTTCAGGGTGGTGTGTCACAGACAGCATGGAGTTTTGAAAGGGAGAAGAGAGATGAGAAGCTAGATTACCAGAATTAGCTTGTTTCAACCACTTGTGGAAATTTCCTCTTATCTAAGAAGGACCCTAAAATGATGACTGCATCCAACTGTTAGTACCAGTGTCAGTTGCTTCAGTTTTCCTGTCTGCAAAATGGGCTGGTGACCTTGCTTCCGCTAGCCTTGTTTTGAAGGGGATTTAGCAGTTGTTTTAGTTATCAGGTTCTCTGACTTTAGAAGAAAAGCAGACCTGGAGGAGGTACCAAATCCAGTTACCTTATCAGCTGGGACTCCCTGTGCCTCCTGGCTGCATGCAGCCCCAAAAGCTCTGGGAGCGTCAGACAGGAAGGCCAGAGGGACTAGAAGACTGTTGGAGCTAGAGAGCAGAGAGGAGGAAGAGTGGGGCTGCAGTGGTTGAAAGACAGCCTTGCATTGACCCAGGTGGGGCTGCACTAGGTACGGTTGCCAAGCTTTGCCCAGCCTGGAGCAGAGGAAATGCAATAAATAGAAAAATAAGATGTACTTTGTTAAATATCAGTTATGTTAAAGAGAGAAATAGGCCAAGAAGGGACATAGAGATAACAATTTAAAATAGTAGTCAGAGGCCTTACTAAGAAGGAGGCATTTAAATAAAGACCTGAAGAAAACGAGGAGGGAACCATATGGATGTTTGGAGGCAGGTCATTCCAGGCAGAAAGAATAGGAAGAGCATGCAAGCAAGTGGGCAGCTGCTCCTCAACTCAGGTCAGTGTTGCTGTTCCCAAGGGCTGCCCAGTGTTTTCCAGGAGCCAAAATGAGAGCTTTTATGTAAAATCTACTTTCCATATCAGTTCACAAAAAAAAAAGGGAGATGCAAGCTAAACACAGCCTGTTTGGAACAGTCTGCACCCTCTGCACAGGAAGATTCTAAGAAGGGAAAGGATCAGCGCCGCTGATATTCTAGGGTAGCCAGCCCAGAGATGGGGGGCTGTGGCCCTCCTGGGGAAGACAGGGCCTGGAGTTTCCCGCCAAGACCCCTGGCAAGAAGCAGAGCCTGAGGACTGGGAACAGCAGGGAGTCAGAGGGTTAGTGAGGAGGGCCAGGTCCTGGAGCTAAGGACCAGCTGCCAGGGTCTTCCTGCCCTTTATGTGCAGAAAGCCCAGTGAGGGCCTCACTCTGTCCCTGTGTCCCATCCGGGCTCCTCCAGTTCCTATCTCAGAGCATTTGCACTCTCCCCCACCCTTCCCCTCTAAGCTCAGCTGTGCCATGGGAGCCAGTGCTGAGCTCCAGCAGGAGGCTGGCCTGGTGATAGTGCCTGTGCTTACAGGGCTCCCAGCTGTGGGGGGAGGTGACTGTAAGAACCCTGTGCCAGGCTTGAGGGGACCAGCAGGGAAAGGAAAGAAAGAAAGAAAAAATAAGAAGTGTATGTACCAAGACCAAGGAGATGAGGAGACAGCAGCTGGAGGAAATCAGGGCAGGAACGGGAGTGTGAAAGCCCTACGGGTGAAAGCATGAAGCTGGTTGGTTTGAGGAACTAGAAAGAGGTCATTTGGCTGGAACACTGGTCAAGATAGAAGATGAGGCCAGAGAGGAAAGCAGCGGGGGGTTTTGTGAAGGCATTGCCAAAGGGCAAAGAACAAAGTGCCATTTCTTTTTCTAGGTAAAGGCCTTGGGGAAAACTTCCCAGGTGCAAGCTGTCTCGGCTCCTGTCAAGGGGTCCCCTGGGAAAGACACTGCCACAGCATCTCCTATAAAGCCTGGGGCTGCCCAGGCCAAGGCAGGGAGGCCAGACCCAGACTCAGAGAGCAGCAGCGAGGAAGAGTCAGACAGTGAGGAGGAGAAACCCGCAGCCATGACCCCACTTCAGGTGAGGCCTGGGGGTGGGCCCCTTGCAGCCAGAAGACCTGCTAAGAACTTGTTCTCCCACCCAAAGACTACAGCCCCTAACCCTCATCTTTCTGTACAACTTCCTCACTGGTCTCATCTCCATCTGCACACATCCACCCTTTAATAATTCTCTCCCTCTCCAGGCAAAATCCTCTGCAAAAGCCCCCCAAGTCAGAACTGCCTTGGCTCCTGCCAAGGGATCCCCTCTCAAAGGGCC